TACTACACATACAGAGATAAATATCTCTGGTGGGGTTTTTTTAGCAGGAGTTTACCCAGAAGAGACAAGAAGGATGATCAAGGCAAACTATCAGAAAAGAGGCCTTCACGTTTCAAATGTGTGCCTATCTCACCCACTACTTCTAGAAAGGCTTTTCCTCAGTGGCCAGGACTCATGGAGCAGCTCTGACTACAATAATGGTCCCGGCAGCTTCTGTGTATCCAACACATTCTCCTTCAGTTACCTCAGGGAGTGAAGGCCTGTGGGGCTGGGGGCCAAAGGAATGCTAAGCTTGCTTTGATGCTCACCTCCTCCTGAAGCCTCAGTTTTCCTGTCTGTAAAGGGAGCTACTGACAAAAAAGACTTCAAAGCATCTGGGAAGATCAAACGAACTGACACATGAGGCAAGTGCTTGGGTAATGGTAGCTCTCACTCTGTTGTAGCCTTCTCCATTGGACCAAACCTACTTCCACCAGGAAGCCTTTCACTTTGACTATGTTCTTCACTTATTACAACCAATCTTTTGAGCTTCCTGGTGAATTTTATGCTACACAGAGCCATAGCCAGTGGTTACTATCTATTGTCTCTCTCCCTGTGAGAGGCTACTCTCTCTCTCTCTCTACAAGAGGCAGGATTCTCCAGTGCAAGGCTGAGTCTTGCTTGTACTTTCTTGGACTGCCCAGTTCAGAGAACAGGCTGGCTGAGAAAGTACTCGAAAGAACACCTCTGGGCTCCTTCTTCCTTTCAGAGGTGACTCACCCCTCACAATCTGGCCCTAGCATCCCATTCCTCTTAGCTGACCTGGACATTTGGTCCTATTTGTACTACCTTCCCTTTCCATAGCTACTGCTGCAATGGAAAAACACCAGTCTGTTGAGAAGTTTTCTTTTGTGTGGCAGTCCCAGAAAACAGACTGAGCCAGAGCCAACAGGGTGCTAGGAGGTATTCATGATGAGGAATACGGAATGGAACATCTCCCTCGGTGGAGATGAACCCAGGGAGGCAGGTAGGCAAGACCTGGTCTTCAACATTCATGTGATGAGATGGACTCAACCACAAGAATACAGTACATTCACATAAAGGCAGGAGAGGTGGTTTCATATTCTTCTGCGTCATCATCATTCTTGTTGCTTAGTGTCCTACTTCATTAGGTTACATGGACAGAATGTTGGGCGAGCTCTGTTGCAAAGGAAAATACTGATGTATGGTTCACTGCACAAAGGAAGCATATTCTTTCTTTCTTTCTTTCTTTCTTTCTTTCTTTCTTTCTTTCTTTCTCTCTTTCTTTCTTTGAAATGAGAGGGTCAGTGAGGCATGGTGGGGCACACCTATAATGTTAGTACTCAGGAGGCTAAGCAAGAGGATTGCTGGGTTGGAGACCAGCCTGCACATCACAGTGAGTTTAAGGCTAGCTTATATTACACAGCAAAATCCTTTCTCCAAAAAAATAGAACAAAATGAACAACAACTACAAAAAGAAAAAAATAAGAGAGCCAATGGGGGGGATATAGACATACAAGTTTCAGGAATGAAACTGAAGTGAGAAAGAATTGCTTATATCTCTCCCTCTTATGTTACAAATCAAGAGATTTATTGTCTATTTTCTTAGTAAAGTGAGAAGCACATATTCATGTGTAAGTTTTTAAAGGCAAAGGGAATAATCGAATTCTGTTTCTAGTAGTCTATAGGTTTTATGAGGTCAAAATCTGTCTTTCAGGCTGGGGAGATAGCTTGGCTGTCTAAGTGCCTCCCTGGCAAGTGCAAGGACGTGGGTTAGATCCCTTGTACCGTATGCTACGTGTGCCTACATGCTGTGCCAGCCCTGAAAACTCTGGGCGTGCCCTGCTGATTCGAAAACTGGGTGTGGTGGCATACCCCTATAATCCCAGCACTGGGGAAGCTGAGACAGGAGGATCACTATGAGTTTGAGCTGCATAGTAAGATCATATCCAAGTAAATAAATAAATATTTTTTAAAAAGCTTTCCTTCCTTTTGGATGGAAGCTTGAGGAAGGATAAGGCAAGACACGTATCCTTGGAAGGGACAATCACAAGCTTCCCAAGGGAACATTTGTATGCAATAGAAAAGCCTCTAAAATTAAGACTGAGTTAAAATTCTGCCTGTAAGATTTTTAAGATGCATCAAAAAAAAAGAAAAGAAAAGAAAAAAAACAGGAAGAGAAAAAGAAAGAAGCAAACAAGCAAGCTCTAATGCTTTCAGAAGGAGACACCAACAGAAGAGAAACAGTTAAGAACTATACGTGAATTCACACACTTCATCCTTTGTGTCAGGACGAAAGTGAAGATGCATAAATAGCTCTGGTTTCTGTAGCTCGAACAGAGATGGGAGAAACAGAATTTCAGGCTTCAGATCAAAGCAAACAAGAGCAGGGATTGCCTCTTTCCTGTTCCCCAAAAGCCAGCTGTTCTTATCCTAAAGGTTATAAAAGGTTTTATTCAGACTCGCTGAACAAACCAGATCCTGTTCCTTCCTTAGGAACACTTGTTTATACCGCATCCTTTTTCCAGTACTTATGGAGTGGGCTCTTCTTTATTACCCTAAATTCTTCCACACTCAGCAAATATCAACAGGAAAAGGCTTTTGTCACTGATAACAATGAATGCAGGAGCTGAGACAGGGCCTTCATAAGCAGGCGGCACTGACAGAGGGAAAGAGGGAGACACCATCTCCAGCTCATGCTTATAGAATAACAGGTTTGAAAGCACAGAAGATACTGAAATCTAGGTAAATTTATTCTGACAGTGACAACAGATTCATCCGACACAACTCATATCATTCTGGAGATTCATTTTGGAGCTGTCAAAGCTTTCAAGCAGAAAATTATTTTCAGTGGCTGCAACTTGGTTAAACAAATTTCACTGCATGAGGAAAAAACAAAGTTACTTCTGGAAGTCTTAGTGGAAGAATTTCAGGCAGGAAACCAGAAATAACATTGGTAGCCAGATAGGTAGTGTCATTTCCAAGCTGGTGACCAAAAAAATAGATGATAGGTCAGCAGGTTGTAGGGACAGAAGAGATGACGTGGAACAACCATGGAAGACAACCTAAATATGCTTGGAAAGAGATGAAGAAGCAAACAAAGCCAGCCATGGTGCCAATTGCTGGGGAGTATGGCCCAGTAGTCCAAGCTGTGGGAATCTGAGAAACAGAATAGTGACAATACTGGACACAAACATGATAAAATAAACATCATGGATTCTAGGATGATATAAATACTTAATTAAGGAGAATTACAAGTGATGATGAAAAACAAGAGACAGCTTTCACTTAGAACACCTATCAATGAATAAAAGAATAAGAAAAATAAAAAATCCCCATTAGGCAAACATGACAAATTGTCACAGGCAAGAATTGTTGATGGATCTTCAAACTAGTGGGTATGGAAAGAAAGTTAAATTGCCTTTGCTAGGTATTTAATATCTTTAGAGCTAGGTCAAAGTATTGTCCTTTAAGATATATATTAACTATAAATTTTAAAAAGTGACCTTTGCAAGGGAGAAAGCTGCTTGACACAATTATAACCAAGTAGTTAGATTTACTGCCTAACACCAGTGACCTTATCCCCTCCCCACATGACACAACGAGAAGGGGACAGCATTGCCGATGTTACCCTAAATATGTCATCTCAGTCACATCATGAGAAATGTCAGAGAAATCCAGAGAGAAACAGCTTACAAAGAGATTGATGTAAACTCTTGACAAGAGTCAAAGTTGTGAACAAGATAAGGTGGGGTACAGGAGACACAGGAGACAATGGGGGCCTGTGTGTGGTATCAGCGCCTATCCTGTTCCAGAAAAGGACACGACTGAGAACTGGCATTTGAATAAGGTTTATAATGGAGAGTCCTGTCCTAGAGCTGATTTCCTAGCATCAATAGCTAGAGACTTAGGTGTGGGATAGATGTGAACCCTCGAGGAAGCCGGGTTGAAAGCAGCTGAGGGTGCTCAGTGCTATATATACAACTAATCTGTAATGTTATTAAAAAACAAAAAGTTAAAAGATAGAATGAAGCTTAGCATGATTTCATCTGGCAGCCAGCCAGGACCAGGCTGAGATATGCACAGTTCTCAGGTGAGCCCCAAGGTCATGACAGGAAAGACTGAGGGAAGAATCAGAGAGGGAGACAGCAAGGTGAGCCTCTGCATTCTCACTTCTTGCTTCTCCAGGGAACCACATTCCCTATAGCAAGTCACCCTACCCTGCACACCCTATGTGTCACCCAACCTCCCTTACACTCTCTTGATGAAGAGCAGTGATGGCCTTGCTGGCAGGAAGGACTTAGCAGACAGCCTGCACCAAAGAGATGGCAAGGGGATCTGCAGAGGCCACGGTAGCATGCGGAGGGAAAGTGCTCCCAAGAGCGAAGTGTGGGTAAACTTGGGGAACAAAGAGCCAGCCCTCAAGTCACCTGAAATTTACAGAGGTCAAGCGAGAAAAATGTGGGTCTTCAATAACCTTAATTCCTCTATAACATCTCTTCTCTAGATTGTTCAACACAAAACTAATATTTCAAATCATTCTAGTCATTTTACCCAATAAATAGTTAGAGCTTCAAAAATCTTACATTCAAATCCTTTTTCCAGACCTTGTAATTGGAAAAACTCTTAAAATACAAAACTAAACTAAATCCAGATGCTTATTTGAATGTTACCAGTTTGATAAATAGAAATGATTCTTATAGTATTAGGAGCTTATTTCTTATTATAAAAGTATTTGTAGAGAGATGCAGCAGTTATGTAAAGACATATGAAAGGAGATCCAAAGCTTTATGTTGCACACACGGTTTTCAGCTTAGAAAAACATGACTGTATAGCATGATTCTAAATAGTTGTGGAATGGCAGTGTAGTAAGGCCATTCACTGTCACTGTAGAGGCAACTGCCTTGTGGTTCACTCAGAACTCTGCCTTAAGCCAGTAATACACTGAATCATTGTGAGAGCAGGCCAGCCGCTGCACGGCTCTCAGAGCCCACACGTACCTCCCACTGCGTTGCAGCGAGACGTCATTTCCCAGAGCACCAGGGCCATGGAGTAGACATCAGTCTGCTTGAAGGACTCGACATTCTCCAAGTTCATTCTGGACTCCAGGACTTCTGGGGCCATGTATCTGGCAGTTCCCACCTGAAGCAAAAACAGACATGGAGGGCCATCATTGAATTCCACGTGTATCTTTGTTTCCACAACACAGAGGATGCTTGCCCCTCACAACAGCAGCTGATTTTTTTTTAAAAGATCAAGATGTTCTTTGACATAATGAGTATTGCACAGGAAGATTCAACATCGATGAGTATTTTTAAAAATAGATGCTCTCCATCTGAAAAGACTTTAAGGACTATAAACAGAGCATGCCAAAGTAAGAAAGTGCCAAATCCCTGAGCTGCCTATCAGTCTCGTAGACGGCATCACATGTAATAACATCCTTCCAGAGAACTTGAGAGACAACATCTGTGATATTTTGGATGTTTACTTTTGCTTTTGCAAATTAAACATTTTTTTAATTCTTGAAACTCTAAGGCTTACAGTGAAAATAATCACTTCAGATTTCATCGTGGAAGGATTGTTCTAGTCTTTGTTTACCCCATGGCACATTCCAGGGTGTCAAGGGTGTAATATAATTTCATAAATCTCCACAAAATGGAAGTCATGTGAAAGTACTTCCATGATTAAAAAAAAAAAAACAAACCTAAGCTGAATCACATTATAATTTTCGTGGATATGCCGCAGAGTTGGATTTTGACTTTTAAGCCTGTGCTACTCTCCATTACTGACAGTATGCAAACAGGGGGCCCCTAGGAAAAAAGAAGAAATATTTTTTAGGGGAAACATTTCAAATTTTAAATGCTTGGTATTACAGTTTGTACAGTCTGATGAAACAGCAGTAATTGTCCTACCTTCCCAAGGACCTACAGAAGGTCAAGCACGTTACTGTTCCTGTGACCATCTCTTCCTGGCATGTGGCAGAAAAATGTTTTCTTTTTAACAAGTCTCTGCATGACTCATTACCCTGGCACATCTCTGTGTGTGTGTGTGTGTGTGTGTGTGTGTGTGTGTGTGTGTGTGTTTCAACATGTTTATCTCATTGGGGGGGTGGGTACTTAGTACCCGTGCTGCCAGGGGCACAGCTGGCTGACTGTCACTGAGCGTCCCCAAAGCACATGCTGCTATCTAGCCAGAGAAAATAATGGTGGTTAAGATGAACTCCACAGAGTAAAAACATGGGGCTCATCGTTTAGAGAGGGTGCTCTGGTAACTTCTAATATGGTTCCAACATCACCTTTGCCTATTTCCACTTTAACCTGTGAGAATGTTTTCAAATGGAAGTGCTCCTTTGCTCAATAAAGTTGAAAGGACTGAACACTATTATGAGAGGGAAACATAGAGATAAAATGCTAACAGCACTTAATTTTGCTTGTTTGTTTTTAGTGGAACCAAGGATTGATCTCAGGCCCTTGCACCTGCCAGGCAAGCACTTATGCTACTAAGCCATCTCCCCGGCCCTGCTAACAGCATTTGCAGCAAACAAAAATCATTTTCAAATGGAAATGAGGATTGACTCTAGGAAGAAAAGGTTTAACCTAAGTTAGGAAGGCTCAGAAGACAGGAGTAGAAATGCAGCCCACTAGCAAAGAGAGTGATCGTGCCCTGTGTTGTCTTCTCAGCTTGGCTAGATTTTCTAGCCAAGTATCCAGAGCCTGGAATTACTTGAGATGAGTAGCATGAGTTATGAATCAAGAAGCAGGCATTGTCAGCAACAGGGCAGGAGGATCTCACACCAGTTCTCACCTACCTGCCCACTATTAGCCAGGTCATCAACAGACAGAGTGGGGTCCAGACGCAGGGAAAGTCCAAAGTCACACAGGCAGCAGGTCAGGTCATTCTTCACAAGGATGTTGGAGCTCTTGAGATCTCTGTGCACAATGGGCATCTTGGGTCTCCCACACGGTGTGTGGTCACTGTGGAGGTGGGCAATGCCCCGGGCAAGGGAGCTGCCAAGCTTGCGTAGGTCCTCCCAGCTGATGACATGCCGGGTGAGGTACTCCTGAAGGTTGCCTTTGGCATGGAAGGCAGTGATTAGCCAATACTGCTTGCCCAACTCTGTCTTCCGCTCCTCAGCTGTGAGGAACTGCAGGATATTCTCATGCTTCAGGTTGATGTCTGAGAAGATGTCTTTCTCTGTTTTCCAAGAGGCATACTCCTCATAGGGGAATATCTTCACTGCCACAGTCTCAAATTGCTCTGAAGTGTTCTGCTTCAACTTGGCCTTATAGACCTCAGCAAAACGACCTTTGCCCACCAGTGTGTCCAGCTCAATGGGCAGGAGCTCCGTGTTGTGGTTGATGTTGTTGGCACACGTGGAACTGATGTCAGAGCGGTCATCTTCCAGAATGATGGCACAGTGCTCGCTGAACTCCATGAGCTTTCGCGGCTTGGCGCTTTCCCAGGACGGGCTCAGCTTCTGCTGCCGGTGAACACGGTAGCAGTAGAAGATAACGATGACGGCGATGGCGATTCCTAGAGGAGGCAGAAGACTGATGCCTGTCACTTGGAATATGACTAGCCACAGGTCGGGACTGCTGGCAGCATATTCTGATGTGGGGGGAAAAACAGGAAAAGAGCCGGGTCAGTACATACATGCCATCAAGAAGTGAATCCGTGTATCAAGCACCCATCCATGTTAACATCTGTTTTGTGGATGCTGTATTATGAATATTTTCCAGTCCAGGGCTGCTAGAGTATAACTGCTCATTCTTTCCTGACTCTGGCTATCCAATGTCTCTTACCCTTCACCAATTACAGCTTAAATGTCACTCCCAAAGGGAAGTCTAGGTAAAGATGATGAGATAGCATTTTGATATTTTTATATATTCTCAGCATAGCTGTGACTCCACACTGGATTTATATGTCTCGTTCCTACCCTCCCCAGCCCCAGCAGAAATGGTACCAACTCTGGATGGGGCTTCTTCACTGAGGTAAACGGCATTCAGCACACAGCAGTCCTCAATATTGTGGAATGGAGATAAAATATTTACATGTTAACTAAGGCTGAGGCACTGCAAATAGCATTGGCAAGAGAGACAAAAGGACACCATTTCCATCTTCAAAACCCCTGCATAGGTGAGGTATTCTAAAAATATAAATACTGTTACTGTTCTGCCATAGTCTTTGCTTTTTTCCCAGTTCCAAATTCGTTCTACTCTGATCACCATCCAGGCTGCTCTGATTCATCAAATCTGGGCTGTCAGAGGAATTTATGGAAGTGTTTCTTTGGAAGTCTGTTACCTATGTCCCCCCATCCTCCTCTTTTCACTGTGGAAGCAATTTGCCATCACACAGCACAGAAATAATTCATAGAAACAATGGAAACACTACTTCAAAGGTAAGAGAAGCTAAAGGTAGAAATGTAACCAGTGTTCTGATTTGCAGTACTGAAGCAGGAAGAAGAAATGTCTTATCTATAAAACTTTAGTACATTTTCCAGCCCTAGATGGCTCTGATATGTTTTTTTTTGTTTGTTTGTTTTTTTGGGGGGAAGAAACATGGATAGAAACATGCAGTGAGCAGGAGACAATGGAAGGACACGACTGGTGCTTCCACGGGCCACAAATGCAAGAATGCTACTGCTTGATGTATCGTTCATCTGCCCTTGGAATTATTCATTAATGAGCCGACCTCATGCTCAGATGTCAGATTTATCCATTAAATATATAACTGTTGAGCATCTATTATGGGATGATACTGCCTTCAAAGAGTATCTAGTAGAGAAATTAAGGGATATCTACGAGTGCTGATCAACACACAGCATGCAGAAGTCGGAGCTAAATGTGAGGTTCAATCTATATGTTGGTGGAATACGAGAAAGATTAGATAAGCATTCAACGTACAGTGGCAATGACTGCCTGTGAGTTGGTCTCTGATGGACTGGAGAGGTCAACAGCAGAAACAGTCAGGAGTAAGAACATATTCTCTGCCTGGGGAGCTCTCCCAGAATTACTCTGCACAGTGAAATAAGATGGATAGAGCTTGACAGGTGACTACGGAACTTCATGCCCTAGAAGTGACTGTAAATCCTCACCCACTCTAGGTGTCTGAGGAAAAATGTGAAGAGAACACCGCCCAACAGTCCAGGTGTGGTGGAGACACCTATAATCTTTCAAAGGGAACTGATGAACTAAATCGTGTTTGTTATCATCACTTAACACAATACAGTCAGAAATGGAGCTAATACATGCCAATGTTGAATGTGCAGGTGTAATATAATATGATTCCATATGGGTTCTTGAGGTAACTGTAAATGGACACACCAACTTCATTGACTATAAACTCTAAGATCTTAAATATACCTGACTTAACTAAAACTAGAGTGGTAATCCTAAAAGTTCAGAACTTCTGCAATAAGGAGGGAGAGAAGATTCATTTTAGGAAAAGACAATAATTTACTTAAAAATTAGAAGAAAGCATACAATTTGGTGGTTGAAACTTGAAAATAGAAATTCTTACACTAGGCGGCTTAGAGACAAAGGACAGAAAGGACTAGGGGTAGACTTGCAGTGGGCCAAAGTGATTGTAGAAAGGAACCAAATACGAAAGAAAACAACAGCAGACTGTCCCTGTGGTCCTACAAAGTCTCAGTCTAGAGGGCAAAATTAAAGAGACAGATGAAATAATACTCAACCTCAGCAGTGAATGACAATACTAGGTCCCTGAAATGAAATGCCATCTCGATTATCCAAGGCATCCTGTGGATGGATTTCCTTAGAATACACACTTCTTTCAATTTTCTATGTCTGTAACTACATAAAATATTTTATATCATAAGTGAGTTTCATTACCTGACAGAGTGATTGGTTTTTATGGAATAAAGTAAGCTGTACAGGAGCAAGGGCCGGGGCTGCTCTGATCTTCAGGACATGGCCCTCACCCAGTGCAGGGCTCTGCACAGTATTCAAAGAATGTTGCATAAGTTAGATGAATGGCTGCTTGTGTGGGATGGTAGCCCTTGTATTTTGTGTGTTCTAAGTCAAGGTTTGGCAAGCCATAGCCCTAGGGCCTATGAAGAGCTGTTGAACATCCCTGTTACAAAGACCCCTTTCACTTCATTTTTAAAAGGGATATCACACACACACACACACACACACACACACACACACACACGTGCACAGAATGCAGAAACACACAAAAGTTCCTGCAACCAAAGCCTTATCTGATCTGTAAATCCCAGAACATACACGGTTGTACCTTTCACAGAAAATGTTTGCTTACTCGTAACTTGTGACTATTATTATTGGCAGAATCTGGAGAGACTTTGCTTTGGTCTATTGTAAAAATTCTCTATACACGTAAGGAAATGTAACTAGAAAAATATAAATACTAACTACATCATTACTAGTTGTGTCTCCATTATAATACCCAAGTGAGCTGTTTAAATAATAATCATTGATAATTTTTTTAATGATTTCTAGCCATATATAAAAAAGTCTTTGCTAATTTCTATTCCTTTCAGGCTAAGGAAAATACAAGATCAGAAAGCCCCTTAAGTTTATTTGTGGTACTGACCACAGAAAATTCTAGAAATCCCCAGTTCAGTGTTAGAAACCAAAGTTTTACTTTCTTTGCAAATTTCCTGTGATTTCTTTTTGAAAATCTACATGTAAAAGTTTGTTGGGGAGGAATTATTGAACAACATCTGTCAATCTTGAAACTTGAAAGAGGGGGTAAAATCCCCTAACAATAGCAAAGAGTCTGGAAGGAAGCCTCGGGGTGTGGCTCTTTCTAAGCAGCAGACAGACACCCACACCCTCTCATCTATGAACCCCTGGGCTGCTAGCAGAGAAGCTAACTGTAGGTGTAAGCAGAGGCTGGCACGGCCTTCATTTAGGGACCAGCAGGAAATCCTTCTTTTCAACCCACAACTACAAAAACACTCATAGCCTGGATACTTCCTATGCACCTGGCTGTGAGCTAAGTGTTTTTATACAGCATTTATACTTCATGGGCAGAAGTACTATGTGAGGTAGAAGCTAATATTATTATACATTCCATTTTACAGATAGGGAAGCTGAAGGTCAAACAGCTTAAGTGAGGTCCCAAGATCATCAGCACAGGTCGTGGTGAAGCTGATATCTGCAATAAGCTCTGACTGGACAGAATGCTGGGTGTCACACCATCATCTATAAACGTCACAGTGGTTGAGAGTCAATCAAGAGGAGCTTTATTTAAACTTCCGGTTTGAGCAAGTGGTTTTCTTTCTAGGAGGCTGAACTAAGTCTTTCATAGCCATCAGCAGTGACCCTGGGAGTCTTTAGATAAAGAGCACAAGGGGCCTCTGCTGAGTGTACAGACTGTTCTCCTTGGCTCTCGGTGCATGTCTTCTCCCTGCCTGGGAAGGAAAGATCTTCCATGAGAGAACCCAAACATCTTTTCTCCCCATTCAGGGCTCACCCCAGGCCTTAGCACACAGGGGGCTCAAGACAACATTGTTGAATTACTGGAAGCTTCCACGAACAGTCTCTTGTTATGGAACATCAGGTTAGGTACAAGTTTGAATGGATATTCTCTAAAGTTCATAAAACATTGAGGCTATAAGCTAAAAAAAAAAAAAAAACATGGAAGTTCTTAGCCTGAGCTCCTCAAGTAGAATTTAATGGTTTGGTGAAATTGAGTAAAAATCACACCTCTCATTTCCTCCAACTTTTAACTAAAACTTTGAGTAACATTTCCTACGATCAGCTGTACCAATGACTCTGCACTTCGTTGAAATCATAAATATTTTCACTCCACATTATATTTATTACAGATGTGCTGGGAGATTACTTATACTTGTCCCTCAGACATTTCACCTTTTCAGATGTGCTCTAAACTTTCTCAAAGCATTACTATACAAACAAATTATATCACAGATTTTCTATTTTATTATTATTTTTTCTTTTTGAGACAGATTCTCACTGTGTTCAGGCTTGCCTTGAGCTCACTTTGTAGCCCAGGCTGGTCTCAAACTCCCAATAATCCTCCTGCCTCAGCCTCCCGAGTACTGGGATTATAGGCATGCACCACTACACTTGGCTTCACTGATTCATTTTTAAATATATTTGATCACAGCATTTCAATATAATTTTCCCCAAATACTGAGTGTTACATTGTATTCATCTGAAAATGCATTGTGAGAAGAAGTCTATGGGCAACATCTGATTTCAAGAAGAAGTCCATGGTACACACATTAAACAAACAAAGCTCTCTGGGCAAAGTGAAAGCCCTGGATCCTTGGCTTCTCTGCCAGGCTTACCCAGAGCAAAGACCTGGAGGCTCAACAGGTTTTCTAAGAAAGACTGGCCCCTGGCTTGCTGTGGGGCTGGGCTCCATATAAGCAGTAGTAAATTCTGCCTCCCTGGAACTCTCTTAACAATAATATTGATAACTATGTTATGTATGTATATGAACTCCCCATGAAATAATAAAAATTAAAATTAAAAAGTAATAAAGACAAATAACACATACTATACTTTACTGGGCCAGGCACTGAGTGGCTATCACCTAGTTTTATTTTGCCAACAACCCTACGAGTCTTCATTACTACCCAACAGGTACTATTA